TAAGCGGTGGCTGTACGTCAACCAATTCGCATTTGAGTGACGCGTAGCTAAAATTGATACGAATCCCGAAACAGAACCCGATAGATCCGTAATGTTCTACGGTACTGACATAGAAAAATCATTACAAATGTACAATAAAGCAAACCTCAAGTATGCGGCCAAAAGAACTCAAGCAAGCGAGCCAAACATGATGTCCAGAGAGAGGCAAACGGTCGCTCACGTTCTCTGACCACGCAAAATTCAAATGTGCCGGACATCGAATTAGGAGATAAATAACAATGTATGGTGTTTGTCATTGGGAAATGTCAATTGAGAAGCAACGCACAGATAGCGTTTATTATTTAATTTAATAGGTGTATATTTCACGAAGCCCGTGAGACATGCACAAGGCATGATCAAATTTTCAGAGCGAGTATATGTACAATAACAGTGTAGGTACGTAGGTAGACAATAAAAATGGTGGGAATCAGAACGAAAACAGAATGCGAAAGGAACACAAACCGGATAAGGTCACCGACGAATTTATGGAAGATGGAGGATGCATTGAAAATGCATGTCACTGGAACTGAAAGTAATAGTAGAGCCGGTCTAGGAAGGATTGAACGTACGGCAACAGTGGGGGAAAATACGGAGAGGCGGTCTGTGGAACAAATGCTGCCTGATGGTGGAGGCATGATGACAGGAATAGAAAGGAAGGAAAACAGCCAGAATAATACGTCGGTAAGGGAACACGTTTCACTCTATGCTGCAATACAACTCGCTTCTGGGGGACAAGTTCATTGGGCTCGGGGCTTCAATCGATCATGGAGTGATCTGGATTATTTAGATTAATTAGGCGTTGGTCGCTTTGATGTCGCTTTATGTCACCATAAATCATCATGGGTTTGGAAGGATTTTCAAAAATTCAACATAGAATACAGTGCTAAACGCCTTAAGCGCCTCAGGAGTGTAGACAACGTTTTTTGAGTAACTGCGGAGCAAATGATTGAGAAGGTGAAGTATAGCGGAGCAATTAGGGATAAGTCGACGATAGTAATTAATCAAACCCGAAAAAGATTTAGGTTGTTTGACAGAAGTTGGACGGGGAGTTCCTGAGTGGTTTGAACCTTACAAGAGAGTGGGAGAGTGCCTCGGAGTTTACTCTCATAGCCTAGAAATATTAAAGATGAGACGTCGAAAATGCATTTAGATGGGTTGAACGAGAGACGATATTGTTTAAAACGTAAAAAGAGAATGCGCAAGTGGGAGCTGTACTCTTCGGGTGAAGTGCTGTCTATTAAAATGTTATCCGAGCAAATGAAAATAAATTCAAGACATCTAGTTACCTGGTCCATTAAACGTTGATATATTTGTGCTGCGTTAAGTAAACCAAAAGGCATTCGTAAAAATTCGAACAAACGAAATGGAGT